CAACCTGTTTCGCAAGATAAGGATCAGCGGCAAGCACTCCCTGGATTTGTGAGGTCCAGATGATGGCTTGGGAGCCTAAATGAAGAAGCAAATTTTGATGAGCCCATTTAGTAATCTGATGTGGGGAAAAAAGTCTATGTCCATCCATCACCAAAAACCAAGAACAAATTATAAAGGGTTTGACTTACAAATGCTCCTCCAAGCTTGTCCAGCATCCAATGCTTGGGGGCATTAAGCCTCTTCAAATGCTTCTTCAACCCTCTAGCCTGTTCCGGGCCACAAGAAAAAGTTCAATAACACTAAAATCCAACTGGAGCTATAGTACCTCACAAAAGTGCAAAAACACAGTGGCACTATAGACAAACACAGAAAAAAAATACAGTACCATCTCCCGAATATTTTCTGATATTAATATTTCGGATCGATCTTAACATATTAATTCGAAATGGTTGAAACATTCCTCATTGCCTTTCCAAACCAAGTCAATACATGTTGCTTGTTTCTAAGTATCAATCTAAATTTGCCTTTTTAAGATGCTTATATATTTTTCGCCTGAAGTTCTCTCAAGCCAACAGATTTTCACCAGGCACAATTCAAAAACCACTGCCGGGGTAATCGTGTACCATAATATCACTACAAATCTCAATTTCAGATCTAACTCCCAAACGAATTGTTCCAGAAGGAATAGAAAATATATTCTCTTCGATGAGGAACAACGTATAACGCAACACATCGGATTAACCGAATCACATCTAACAATTCAAGAGTGATCAATTGAGATATTCAAAAAACACGATCTAAAACAAATTTATGAACTGTATATATTTCTGATAAGATCAATAACAATGAACTGAAATACAACGACTGCATAAAGTAGAGAGAGCGAACCATTTTGTATCAATTATAAGGATAGTCTGCTACGACTTCACTGTTCTTCGACCCTGCAGAGAGAGAGAGAGAAGGGGTCGCCGTGGGAGAGCAATGACTTAATAAGGTCACGCAAACCCTAATGTGATGAACTGCTAGAGCTGTTAATGGGCTACAGAGCTAAAAAAGGGTTTTTGGGCTGGGTTTCTAATGAGGCCTATTATTGGACCAGCATACTCAATGGGCTTGGAGTTTTAGCCCATGTTTTTTCGATATAATAGTTTGTTCAAAAAAACACAAGTTTAAGGTTTGATTTTTTTTTTTTTTTGATAAAAAAAAAGGTTTTATATTTGAAAATGTGTTCCACATATATATATAAAAAAGGGTGTGTGTGCGTGGGGGGTGGGGGGGGGGGGGGGGGATGAAAAATATGATATTATGTAAGCCGACACTCAAATTTTCATTCAATTCAAGTTGAACCTAAATTGAATATGAAATTTAATTGGAATGGGAAGAACTTAGTTGAAGTAATCTTTCAATCTGACCAATCTATTGGAGTTGCTCCCAGGGGCGGAACTAGAATTTTTGCTCAGGGGGGTGGGCACTTTAATTATGTACTCTAATTTTTTTTCTTATAATCAATCACACTATATAACGTATTTATATTTATTATATTATATTTGATATATGAAGTCCATTTAACATAAAAAATTCTATAAAAAAAATGTATATTGTCAAGGGCGGAGTCATGAATATCTATGATAGAGACAAAATATAACTGGTATAAAAAAATATTAAGCAGAAATTAATACAAAAAAATTTAGTTCAAGAATAAAAAAAAAAGTAAGAATCAACACTAAATTATTGTAAAATAATAAATTCAATTTTTATTTAGCCGAAACAAAATTTTAACAAAAAGACACAAAATAAATTTTTTAGTACATTTTAACCTAATTATATATTTCAATAAAATATAAAAAATTTTAAAATTTCTAAAATTTTGTATATGACTTAAATGAAAATTAATTTTCGTATTTTATTAGGTTATAAACTACTATTACTAAAAAAAATGGTAAATGAGAACTAAAAATTATTCTTAACAAGTAACAAGCATTGTGTTAGATAAAGAGAAATATTGTATCTTCGTTAATATATAAATAAAACATTGACTCAATCCAAAACTAACATATTTATTTTAGAGGGTTAGTAGTCCACTAATTTACTAAAAAAAAAAGGCTAGAACCATTATTAAATTTTTTAAAAATTTAGGGGGTAAATATAATGTATAAAATAATTTTATAGGTTGGTAAAAGGAAGGACAAAAAAACTCAAGAAACTGAGTTTCTTGTATGATAAGCTTTTCTGTATTTATTTTATTTTTCTTTGTGGCTGGACAATAGGTAGTTGAGAGTGAGTGATACAGAGAGAAAAAAAAATGAAAGATAAAATAGATTTTAGTCAAGTGGGCCAAAAGTTTTATTTTTTAATAATGGTGGGCAAAAAAATTTATCTTTAATCTTGGCCCAAAAATTTTGTTTTTAATATTGTGCTAAAAGTTTTATTTTTTTAATAGATATTGATAGATTATGATAGGTCAAATATTTGATTTTTTAATAAGTTTAGATAGATAATAGTGAGTTCAATTTTTTTTTGTTTTAAATAGACTTAATTTTTTAATTGTTTTGGGTAAATAATATTAGTCTAATATAAATGAGGGGGGCACACTTAATATATATGTATAAATATATAATACATATATCTAACTAATAAAAAAAAATTGAGTGAGGCACGTGCTCACCCTGGCCCTTACCTCCTTCCGCCTATGGTTGCTCCTAATGAATGGGTGGTGTGGTGAGGGTGGAAATCATGTTGGACCGCCAGTACACTCGTAGATGTGTGTAGAAGTTTTAATTAAGACGAATTATTCAGGCTCGATTTATATAAAATTCGGTTCGAACTCAATTAGTGTTCTAAATGGTCGAAAACTAATTTGAAAAGTTTGGCTCGTTTATATATAAAATAGTTGAATTACTCAGACTTGAGTTTGCCTTAATTTTTAAATGAACTAAGTTTAAACAATTTTTTTAACTTATTTTAAAAAAAAAATTCGTCAAACTCATATTCAAATTCGCAAAACTTAATCCGATTAACAATTTTGTACGCGTAAGATGATGCCTATCATGCCATGAGTTGCAGACCATGTAAATTTGGAGTTTATGGGATCTACTAGTCCATTGTACCTTGGACAAGTATCCAAGAGTCATGGGCCTTTTTGATCTAAAAAAGGTAACACTGTTAAATGAATTTTTGTTTGGGAAACAGGTTGTATGAAGATCAAATTCGTGCCCTTTAAATTTAAAAGGTCGGGAGAGTGGTTGATTATTATGCCAAAATGAATCGAGTCACTTAAATTGGCTTCATTTCAAACTTGGTCGAATGTGATTAATTTTTAAACTAATTTAGTGTTTAAGGCAAACAAAAGTGATGTTTACATTGGTGAATTTTTACTTTTTTTTTTACGTACCAAAATAATTTTTACTTTTATAAAGCCATCTTCTAATTTTTTTCCTTTTGTTGTTAAGTCAACGCAACTCAACAAATTTTTAATTTTAATTTATTTAAGATCAGTTGCAAGAATTCTATTTTTTTTATTAGGCTATATCAAAAATAATATGTTTGGTTAGACCATAAATTATTATATTATTTTATTTACAATTATTTTAATTTTGCATTTACCTCTCACATTATCATTGAAAATGTATCAAATCATTTTCCCTCATAAGTGCATTATTAGGTCTTCTATAAGCATATCCAAATTCCTTAAATTGATTTTCTCTTAATTTATAGTTTAATAAGGGTAACCTGTGCTTAAAAGTACAATTTAATGTAAATGATTTTGAGAGAAATATTAGTGATTGTTGAATAAATTTATTTAAAACCGTCAAATAAGATTATTGAAACTTGTCTTATTTTATATTATATAATTCATGTTGCTTCTTCGATTTTACGAATATACTAATTTTTTAATTTTATCATTTCTCATTTTATCACGCATTCATCTTAATATTCTTATATTTATAATAATTAATTTTTGAGCGTATTGTTTCATACTTACTTACCTACCATTCCATTTCATATATTGATCTAATGACGGTCATATGTATGTCAATCACATGTCATGCTTCAACTCTATGGTTAACACCATCTTCAATCTCTCTCTTTATTAATAATTGATCTCAAAATACATACAGTACTCGTCATTTGAGTATTTATTTGTTCACGAGTATTTCTTGATTTTCGATTTTTAATATCTCTTTTAGGGGTGTCTATGGGTGGGCCGGGCTGAATAGTGTAGGCCCATGTCGTTATTCAAATGAATTATTGGCGTGGCTCGGGCTTGGCTTCGAGTAGGGGTAGACTATCCGTAGTCTAACCCGTGAGTCTATTGGACGGGCCTGCTTGCGGGTTTTTTTTATATACATATTTATTTTAAAAATAATGAATATTTTTATAACTTAATATTTATGTAAATTATATTTTTGAGTCAAAATGGATAAAAATAAAATAATGAACTACATTAAATAAAATGAATAAATCTCAACTAGGTTGACACCTACTAATTTATCTGTCATTTAAAACTTATATGTTTAATACATGTAAAAAAAATAATACATTATTTATAATATCTAAAATTTTAAAATCTCAAATTTCGATATTGAGAGACTTATTCAAAATTTTAAATTTAATGGTTTAAAAATATAATTTTTTTTTAAAGGAATGGCGGGTTTAGTTGGGCTTGCGGGCGGGACTCTTGGGTCAGACTTCGGGTCAGGTAATGAGTTTGGAAATAAATCCAAGCCCCTTATTTAAAGATATTGGGCTCAGCTTCGGGCGGTCCAACTATGTGATCTATCAAGTTTCAAATCTATTTTTTTAGACCAAATAATAGATAATAGGACCTGCCAGGAACCCCGCCCATATTTATTTATTTTTTTGTATTGCGGTAATAAGTAATAACTCGGACACTGCGAAGCAATTTAATTCCATGTACCTCGTAGTACCAAATCCAGAAACAAAAGATTGGCTCATCCTTTTCTGTATTTGTCCAATCCGACACGAGAGAGAGAGAGAGAATGGGAAAGGAAGCCATGCCTGGTTTTGTGCTACTGTTCTTGTTGTTGTTAAGAGTATTGATACACTCAGACGCTGACGAAGAAGGATTCGACGTTCGCCAACATCTCTCAACTGTCTCTAGGTTTCTCTCTCTTAACATCTCTCTCAACAGTGAAACATTATTTTGTTTATTTTCTGTGTTTTTCCTTGAGTTTTGTTTTGCATTTGTTGGAATTTCAGATTTCTTCGCTTATACAACAATTGGGAACATTTCGAGTAGTTTTAGAGCCCGATCGTGGCATGAATTGAAGAGCTTATGTATCTGTGTAGAGAAATCTGTGTCTATCATTATATATCTATCGTATCATTGTTTATTTCCCAAAAGATCTTGTAATCTCTCTAGCGGTTTTTGAATGATGAAATTCATGAGATTCAAATTTACAGAGCAATGACGAGATAAAGACGTGGTCAAGTATTCATTTTTTTCGGACTTTTTTATGGTATTCATTTGAGCACATATTGTTACCAGAAGCACATATTAACATAAATAGCTAACATGCTCATTTTATTGTTTCCACTGGAATTTTTTAACTGATTACTTCTTTCTATTTTGTTTTCCAGATATGATGTTGTGAAAGACATTTCTGACAATTCTTTTGTTCCTTCCAAGATTCCAGATCAATGTACTCCTATCCATTTAAATCTTGTGGTAATCCTCACTTACAACCTCAGAACTGATATTGGGAATGGCTAGTATTTAGGGTGTGTGCATAGGTTAGAGAATTGAACACTATTAATTGTTGAAGTATATATATTTAAGTTACACCTTCTCCAATAGGTTAAGCATTTGGAGTAGATGGTTGTTTAACATTAACAAGTGCCACAGCCTTAAATTCCATGCAGATTGGCTATCAGATGTGTTACTTGTTGGAATAATATGTTTTTATTCTGGCATTTGTGTTATACAGTCTTGTAAACTGTCACATTTGATTTGGCCCAACATTAGTAGAGAAGCTGAAAACTTCTACCGCGATGTGTTGATATGGTATATGCTGCATAATGCTTGCATTCTTCCTGCAGTTATCCTTGTGGATTTTCCTTCTTTTTTTTTTGTTATTTACATTGATTTCAGCTAGTATAGTCATGTTATAATGAGTGGTTTGATTCAGAATTTGTCTTCGTAACCAAAAAATATGGAAGCACAGGCAAGGCATGGAACTCGTGCCCCTACAAAGAAAAGGATGCGGGAATTAGAATCTTTAGAGGCCCACTTGGAGGTCCTTCTACAAGATGCAAAAGAACTGAAATTGTCCTTTGCAGAAAGTTCCTGCCTGGTTATGGAAATGGGAATCTCCTTGGAGAGGTAAGCATAAAGGTGGAGAAATTACTAGTGAAGGAGAAGCTGAACTTTTTAATCTTGGGATCAGAAGCAGAGAAAGATTTCCTGAACTGTTTAAAGAGGATTACCACCCAGATGTATATCTCATAAAAACCACCCAGGTTGGCCATTATTTATTCATTTACAAGTTGTTGATATTTACTTACTCAGATGAAGGCCTTCCCTTGAGGGATTACTTTTATAATGAGACTTGCGTGATTGAGATTTTTTTTTTATTTCTTTGGACCTTTATTTGCACTTTTGGCATCTGTCAAAATATATCACCATAAATTCCCGTTTGGTCGAGGTTTCCACATAGATGGAAGTTTCCTCAGCACAGTGACTTCAATATCTATTTTGTTTTTGCTTTACCTCTGCCATAAGGATGTGTTGTTATTATAATCACCTTTGCCTAATAATGAGATAGGTCCCTCGGGCATCAGCTAGTGCCGTGGCATTTGGCATGGGGCTTTTTAGTGGGAAAGGAAATCTTGGACCACAACATCATCGAGCTTTTGCAGTTACAAGTGAAAGTCGTGCAAGTGATATAATGCTGAGATTTCATGATTGTTGCCAAAATTACAAGGTACATATTTTGATCTATTTTTTGGAATCCACACCCATACACATGCTTACCTTGACATAATAGATGAACTTAAGGTTGTATTGAAAACATCTTTTGAGTGCTTGGACTGTAATAATCTTGATATTTGTCATAGGAATGGCAATGATATGACAAGACAGCATAGATTCGAGTTTTCATATTCAGCATGGGGTTTGGTAGTATTGTTTAGCAGTGTAGTATGACTTTACTGCCTATACATTGTTTGAGTACCAAACTTTTACTTTTCCTTGGACATTGCTTTGGTGCTATTCTGACCATTTTGCTCATCTGTTAAACAGTGCCACCTAAAGAAACTTTATAGACTATGCGACCAGTCGAAGAATACTATGGATTGTTGTCCCATGAAAATCACCTATGTCGAATATGATATCTCTATCCACCTAAACCAAATGTAAGGTTTCCAAGATTATGCTTGTGTCAAGAACTTTTGGGTTGCATTGCTCCTCAAAAGAGGAATATACCACTTATTTCAACTTGTGATTTTGACCAATGGAGGCTGAAGCTTCATCCTTTTGCTTCCCAATTGACTCCCTTGTAGAAGGAAAGAGTCAGCGAAAGCCTTAAAGGACTGGACAGTGGCTTCCAAATAATCTATTTGTGAACCAAATGCTTCTTTCATTGCATATACATCTTGTTTAAAACTTCGAGCTCTGCTTGCAACTCATTATCACTCACACCTTCCATGTTTTAAAGTTAGACTGTGGCAAAAAAATAGGATCTTCGAGCTCTAATGACAAATTGATGCAGGACAAATGTGGGAAACAGCCTCCTACTAAAAGATGCCACCTAATTAGATATGGGCAGTGGAAGAAGAGGTTATCTAAAGTCGGATTGTGGACTGTTTTTTTTATGTTTTGGATTGTGGACTGGTTTGTAGCAAAAAAGGTTGGTAATATATTGGGCTTTTAGGGTTTGATAAAATGTGAGAAGTTAATGGGGTTTGAAGTTGAAATGGGGCAAGATTGAGTAAGATCTGGTCATTTTTTGGGGACGTGAACAGTAATAGAAGCTACTTTATGGTTTTCAATTGTATTAAATTGAAGTTCTAAGGTGAGGAGGATTGGGATTTGCACTATAAGTTTTACATGGTTTCAAAGAAAGGTGAAACAAATCTAGTTATTGCTTTAGGTGACTTAGATTGCAGAATATTTAGAGAAGACGAGGAGGGGCAGGAGGAGGGGGGAAAAGAAAGAACCATACACCATCTTCAGACGAGTTATCACAAAACACAATCACAATCCTCCTAAAAATCAACTTGATCGAATCAATGGGAATAACTGCCATAAGATAAATGTGAAGATTGAAGAAGTTGAGAGATTATGGGATAGATTTCATTTCTTGGCTTCTTTTTGGACTTCAACGACTAAGGATTTTGATGACATACCTCATTTTTGTAGCAGAGCTGGCTGGAAAGCCTCATGCTTGTACATTGATTTTTTTAATTTTGTTGTTTTTCCACCGTTTGTGTTGGACTTCTTGTCCCCCATTGATTCGACTTTTAGTTATTAATAAAGTATGTTTCTTATCCAAAAAAAAAAATTAAAAAAAAATTGGGAATAACTACAATCCAAACTTCATTACTTGACCCAATTTATGACCCATGGACTATGGCTGCGACTCATATCCAACATTTATTGAGATGGCCAAAATACCCTTGACGCCAAAAACTATTCAAAGCATGGATAAATCTGACCAGCAATATATTGTTGACTTTAGGAATTACATAATGATTCTATGAATTACTACAGACATCTTTCGCTAGACCACAAATATTTTTGGCTTTCGGTGTGGCGCATAGCTCTTGCTTTAGGCTTCCAAAGCCAGTGGTACTTGCCCAACCAAACAATATGTTTTGCATCATCAAAACTTGATGGGTAGTGATATATAATTAAGGTTAACAAGAACTTCCAAAGGAACCAGACGATTTTAGCAAATATGATGTCAGAGGTAATGTAAGGTTGAGCCTTTCGCTGATGTCACAGACCGAAACTCAAATGCTATATCTATATCATTAGTGTCTATTTTCAAGTGTTTGAACACAGTTGCTATACCTTTTATCTGTGGATGCAGGCTTTTAGGAAAAGTCAGGAGCCTACTGTTCATAAACTTAAGGAACCCATCTTAGATGAGATTATGCGTGCATTAGTAAGGCGATATGAGCTAAATTTTACAAGGCAGGATACCTCTTCCTCTGGTTTTTATGCAAACAGGTCTTTACTCTTCCCTTTAATGAGGCCTCCCACACATACTAAACATGCTTCTCTGATCTGATGTGTCTTTTTTGGTAATCGTCCCTATTGATTTCGAATTTGGCAGGAAGCATCCTTATTGAACATAACTGGTCAAGCTTGTGCTTTGTTTAGCCCTTCTGAGGTAAGTAACTGCAGTGCTTGTTAACTTGTTTTGATAATTATCCCATCTGCTTATGCATAGGTTATTCCCTATATATATATATATATTGGATGGTTATTTGGTCTATATGGTTGTTGTGTGCAAATTAGCCTATTTCTAGTATCATGGTAGTTGGCTGTGATATTTGTTGGAGCTTGTTATGTTTTCTTGCATTCTTTATGCTTACTGACTTGCAGCTTACGCACATTTTT